GGATTAATCGGTGCTGGAGCTATGTGGGCAAGTTAAATGCTTTCTGAGAGAGATTGATCGCCAGGCTGGGAAGGAGCACGGGGCTAAGGAAGTTGTAGGGGATGTGCATGGACGTTCCGTTTTTAATAAACAGTAGTGTGGAGAGCCACCGAAGATGCTGTGTTAGAGCTGGTGGTTTTAAAGATGAAAACACACACACGTACACCCACCCCCACCTAGAGAGCAGTCTCATCCTTGGCCACAAATGGGCTATGAAGGGAGCTGATCCTCCAGCACATTAGGTGCAGAGCGCGAAGCTGTCTGGCTCTCTAAGCAGCAGCGGTTTTCACTATCACAACCACCCTCTTTCTCGGCCCTCCCTTCATTCGAATACTAAACAGAGCTCCAAACTCTTCATAGTTGGAGTCCCAGAGAGCAGTTTTTATTGGCTTTAGCATCTTCCAGCTTGCCTGCTGAGGAGTAAATCTTAAAGTTAATGGCATGTTGAGTAGCACAAAAACACAGCAGAATGGAAATATACCAGGTTTGTTGGGGTGGGGTGAGGGTGGGGGACATAATGGAGAGAAAATCCGATCTTTATTCATTATGGAGAAGATGCCTGTCTATTCAGAGGAGAAATAAGAAAGGTGGAAATAAGAAAGGTAGTCTTTAAAATAGTATTAGAAGAAATAAAAGAAAACACTTTCTTTTTTCCCCCTCCCTCAAGTCAACCGTATCTTTGTAGTTATTCCCTTTCCAATCAAGCTCCCTAGAAGCTAATCAAGGTTTGTATCAAACCTTTGTCATTGTACTGTGCCCTCATTTTTAAAAATAGTAATAATAAAAATTGTAAAAGCATAGTCATGGAAGTCTTTGGCCCATCTTAATGATCAGTTCTTGTGGTGATTTAAGATTTCAAAGTTAAAAAAAAATCAGAACCCACTAGAGGCAAAAGACAGTTGTGAGGAGCTGAGCCGCACATGATACCTGGGTTGAAGCCACTTTATTTTTTTCTTTATTTCAAATGAAGATAAACTTCAACAGTATTCCTTGGGTTTTTTTTCAATAATCCCCTGCTGATATCATCACTTTTGTTTCTGATGTAATTTGTACTCTGGTGTTATAGCAAAGAATTAGAATTGTCACTGTTTGTTATCAGGGAGGTAAAAAAGGTTAATATATATATACACACACATATATATAAACATACGTACATGTACATATATGTTTTCTGACTTGATACATCTATATATTTCAAGTCAGAATTCCCAGGACAAGCAAAACTTCATTTTCTAAATAATTCTTCCCCTAAACTGTCTCAGTCGGTCGCAGGCGGGCCCGCTAGCTCTGCTATACTGGCTTCCTCGTTGTCGCAGCTCACCCTTCAGAGCTTGAGCACACATTTTTTTCTATGAAACTTCCTGCCTCTCCATCCTTTTGATTTTTATAGTTGAGGTTGGGCCACAATGTCCCTAATCATGCCTGGGAGCTCCCGGAGAGCTTGAATAAGTGAGACAGTTTCCTAGGTCTTGTTTATTCAGTCCTAGAAGAGTTTGAACTCCTCCTTCAGTGATGCAGTCTAATTTATTAGCTAATCCTGATAAAATAAGCCTCCGGCCACCTTCAGAAAAATTATTCACTTGCCATTTGTGATTAATTACTGTTAAGTCAAAAGCATGATGAGGCTTGAGGAATGAGGGTTGCATTTGGCTTCTAGATTTTCTCCATCCCTAAATTGACAACATGAGGCTGGGGATAGAATCATGCCTTTGTTAAGCCTGGTTTCTGGGCATATTTGTGGCTCTTGTTCTCCCTTCTTGAATTTCTAACTTCTAATGAATCATACTGGGATAAAACTGAGAGACATAACAATGATACTGGCCTCCACTGGGAATATATATATATATATGTGAATGAAAAAAGAAAGGAAGGAAGGAAATGAAAGAAAGAAAAGAAACGGAAAAGAAGTAACATCTAAATGAAATACATGAGATTTCAGATGGATTTTCATTTGTTGTCCACCTGTCATTTCAGGTATCTAAAGAAGGAAGGTCTTCTAAGGGTTAATGGAATACCTGCCATGCGTAGAGTATACCTTAAAAGGCAATTACTCTAGTCAAATTGGGAGTCTGTGGAGGAGGGAGTAAGTGGGCATTGTGGATCAAATCCAGCCATATCAGAGAAAGGCTGTGGACTGGGGTAATTACTATAAAGGTAATTTTACCCCCTAGAGACTAGAAAGCAATTGGAAGGAGGGAGATCTGGGTGCTAAGAAGAGAGAAAAAGGAAGGGAGAAAAAGCCCAGAATTAAAATTCAAAGAAACAACACCCAAGGAAGAAAACCCAGTTTAATGCAAACTCTCCTGGCCAACTCAGAGTCTTCTTTTCTTTCCCCATTCGAAGCACTTTGGGAAAGATTGTTTTTCCAGGCTTCAAAGAGAAAGACATTGTACTATTGATTAAATAGAAGAGAGAAGAATTCCCAGGGTAGCAGCAGAAGTGAGCTGATGACCAATTTTGCCCCTTCTTATAGAATTTTCCTCCCTTGGAGAGGGAAACAAGTCACCCAGTAGTCTAATTCTTCCCTTCTCTCATTTTTAATTTCTCTTTCTTCTTTTTATTTCTTGGAGGACAAGCAGAGGCAGTGACTGAAGATACATACCCCGCACACACACCCATGCCTGCTGACACACACAGACACGGTTAGTGGATCACACATGAACAAGCCAGCAATCCATTCATAACTTTGGTCCTGTCTAGCAGGATAGGAGGCAGCAAAGACTGAGTTACTGGGAGACATAAAGACTAGTGCTCTCTGGATAGCCATATTATAATGCATTATCTTTGAAGTCATTTAAGTCCAATTTAAGTGGTATTTAGTATAATATTTATGAATTAATGTAATCTAAACACAAGGCTGTCCCCAAAGGTTTAAACAGCCTTTACTACTGATGTGTGCTTGTTCCCAGCGCCTGTGATGCATTTTAATCTAAACAGCCAAGTCCACATCATAGTCATTCTTGTTATCCAGTCAGAACAGATCTGTGCCTGGGTAGCCACACTGCTTTGAGATTTTCTCCACTGCATGGAGGAAAATCTACTATACTGGCAGCCTGGGGTCTCCCAATCCAGAAGCCATAGCTGCAAGGACTTTAGACCCTTGTACTTTCATGCTACATCCTGAAGAAGGGTGGGGACTGAATAATAGAACCTTTTGTAGATTTAGCCCTGGAGAGTGTTCCTTTTAAAATATATTCACCACCAGATGCACAATGTCCCATTTCAATGGAACCTTCTGTGAATTTAGCTCGGGAGAGTGTATCATTTTAAAATATACTCACCACCAGATGTACAGTATTTCATTTCAACTATACCTGAGTCGGAAATGCCTGAAGCCCTTTGCTTAGGAGTGTATCTGGGAGAAAGAGGAAAGGCAAGGTTATGATTATGTTTGGGTAATCTGTGGCCATCTTCATAAAATTATGCATTGTATTTACATTTAAGTTATAACAATCTCAGAACATCGAGTTTCCACCTCTTGACTTCAGCCGAAGTGGTTCGTTGTTTTTCTTTTTCTCTCCCTGTATAGTAGATAGGTGAATTAAAAACCGTGAAGCTCTGTCTGATTTCCATTTTCAAATGAGTCTAAGAGACAGTGGAGCTGAAGTATTAGCATGGGCATCAGCTCAATTAAGATGAACTTTTTTTTTAATTACTTTGAAAAATAAAAATTCATCCTGTCCAGGGGAAAGAATAGCCGGTACACACTGATAGTTTTTAAATGAAAGATTTGCCTTCTCAGAGATAGAGAAAATGTAATAGCCATCATAAGAAACTAAGAAAAATATTTACTAAAAAAACAAGTTTCACCAAGAAAATGAGGAATAGCAATTATTATAAAATGAAAGCATGTTAAAGCAAC